TTAACCGTTGCGGAGGTTCCCATGAGAGAAGGCACACCTGTAACTGTGTGCACAAATGAAACAGGTATATGGAACTAAGGAGTCTATTTTAGCAGGGTCCAGTTTGATCAGAAATCATTGTATTCTGCATTAGTGTTAAATTTGGGGATCTAGCCGTTTCAGTGATGCCAAGCACCACAGTCCAAAGACACGAAGTTCATCTACCTGCACCTGCCCATAGCTCCCTGGCAGAGCCTGCTTGGCACGCAGAAGGTCTCCAGTTTCAAAAGGAACAGAGAGGCGGTCATAAGTGATGTAAAAGTCCTGGACCGGAGACCCTGGAGAGACCCCGGCTTCTCTCTTCATTGCGAACCCAACAGATAGAGTTGAAAACAGACAGAGTCTCGAAAGTGTGACAGAGCGCACCTTGTCAGATGGGTAAAAGAGGGAGGGCGGGGCGTCGGCTAGCTTAATGGCGGATGCCAATTGAGTGTACTCTGAGAGACCCCTCTGATTCCTGCCAAAATACTACTCAGCCATTGATCTTGCCGGCACAAAAGTTATGGGAAAATCAGGCGGAGCAAAAATCGATTGGGAGAAGCAAAAGCGAGTCAACTAAAATCTTATTTTAATAACGAGAGAGTAAGTGGAACCCTGCAAGGGCTGCGACAACTTGAAGACAAAATGGCGACCGGACAAAGGAACCCGACTCCAGGGCACTCCCCTCTAACTAAACAGGACCTAACTAAACAGGACTGTTCAAAAATGAGACGTTGGACAACATCAACACTTTGCTTAAACCCACATCAGAGCAGATGGACGCGTTTACATATTTCGATGCAGAAAGTTGCTCAAACTGCAGATATGGCGTTGGAAGCCTCAACGGCCAATAATGAAGACATTAGAATCTTGCAAGACTCTGAAACGTGGGCTAAAGAAAGAATATTACTACTGGAGCATAGGACCCGAGATAAATTTCTAAAACTTAGAGGATTCCCAGAACAACCAGAAGGAACTGAAGAACTCACCTCTTTTTCTGGCAACGTGGCTGACGCCGGTCATTACTTTCGAAGACGGCATTGCACCAATGTTGGTAAGACGGATAAAAGAGTCCAGGGGGTTGATAGCTATATGAGTACAGGCACACGAACATGGGCTTTATAAAAAGTGTCATGCAATGGAACAAAAAGGAAAAGGAAAGCGGTTACAATTGGGGAAGAACAATACTATGCGTAGGATCACTCCTCCTCCCATTGTAACTTCTTAGGAGGAGGGAGGAGGAGAGGAGATTGGATTTATGCCCCGCCCTTCACTACCCAAAGGTGTCTCAGAGCGGCTTACAAACTCCTTTCCCTCCCCCTCCCCACAACAGACACCCGGTGAGGTCGGTGGGGCTGAGAGAGCTCTGACACAAACTGCTCTTTTTCAAGGACAGCTGTGCCAGAGCTTGTGACTGACCCAAGGTCACATCAGCAGGTGAAAGTGGAGGAGTGGGGAATCAAACCCGGTTCTCCCAGATTAGAGTCCGCACACTTAACCACTGCACCAAACTGGCTCTCTTACCTTCCCTTTGCCTTTTGGTCCCCTTGCGTAAAACTCCCTACCCACAAAAAAAATCAGACCCATTCAAAACCCACAAGACCAGTGACAAATCATCCTCTTTCCAGGTTCCCCCCCTGCGTCATGGCGCATTTCCCTAAAGATTTGGGACGGACTTTCTGGGAAGACCACACTCCAAGAGAGGTTAGTTACTCTGTGAACTGGGGAGTGTGGCTTTCCCAGCCTCCTCAGCCACTTCTGGCTCCCTTCTCTCCTTGGAGAGCCAGTTTGGTGTCGTGGTCAAGTGCGCGGACTCTAATCTGGGAGAACTGGGTTTGATTCCCCACTCCTCCACTCACGGCTGCCGGATGACCTTGGGCAAGCCGTAGCTCTGATAAGAGCTGTCCTTGGAAAAGAGCAGTTTCTGTCAAGAGCTCTCTCAGCCCCACCCACCTCACAGGATGTCTGTTGTGGGGGGAGGGAAGGGAGAGGAGTTTGTAAGCCGCTCTGAGACTCCTTTGGGTAGTGAAGGGCGGGGTATAAATCCAATCTCTTCTTCTTCTTCTTTTACCTCACAGGGTGTCTGTTGTGGAGAGGGGAAGGGAAAGGAGTTTGTAAGCCGCTCTGAGACTCCTCTGGGTAGTGAAGGGTGGGGTATAAATCCAATCTCTTCTTCTCTTCTTCTTCTTCTATTTCCCCCCCTGCACCCACCTGTTCCTACTCCACCACTGGGTTTTCTTTTGTTTTTTGCTGTTTTTTTTTAAAAAAAACGGTAGCTGGCACTGGGCTACACAGCAGGATTCCCTCTAAGCTGAGTTACTGTGAGCCGGCTCACAGTTTTTTAGCCTCCAGTTCACACATTTTTTTGTCTTCGCTCAGGAAGGACGGGGCTCCAGAGCAAATGAATCGATGCCGGAGCCAAGTTGCTCGCTCACCACTTTAATGCCAGCAGCTCACAAAGTAGAATTTTTGCTCACAAGACCTTCACGGCTTAGAGGAAGCATTGCTACATGGAGGCAGGCAACAGCAAATCCACCTCTGTCTGCCGCTTGCCGTGAAAACCCTATGCGGGGCGGCGGGGAGTGCCATCAAATCACAGCTGACTTATGGCCAATGTTCCCTCTAAGCTGAGTCAGTGCGAGCCGGCTCACAGTTTTTTAGCCTCCAGCTCACGCATTTCTGCCTCAGCTCAGGAAGGAGGGCTCCAGAGAGCAAACTGATTCATGCAGCAGCCCAATCGCTCGCTGCACAGCTTTCATGCCAGCAGCTCACAAGGCGGAATTTTCGCTCACAAGGCTCCACGGCTTAGAGGGAGCATTGCTTACGGCGACCCCTCAGGGGGGTTTCAAGGCAAGAGACCAACAGAGATGGTTCGCCCTCGCCTGCCTCTGCGTGGCGACCCTGGACTTCCTTGGCGGACTCCCATCCAAGTCCTGAACCAGGGATGTTCCTGCTTCGCTTCTAACAAGACTGGGCTATCCTGGGCCGAAAATCCTACAGGGTTGCCATAAGTCAGCTGTAACTTGACGGCGTTTGATGCACACCTAGTGCTGGAAGTGTACCATCAGGGTTAAAGAAATCAGGACAGAAGCCCACCCATGGCAGGGGAGCACAGTGCGGGCGCAAAGCGAAGGGGAGGGGAAAGGTGGAGCATTCCCCAGCACAAAGGCTCCTTCGCCGTGGCAAACGTCTCCACATTCACAGGAGTCATCATGAGAACGCAACCGGGGATCCTCCTTCTGGAAGTTCCCCAAGTCAGTTCCCACGGCAGCGAGAGGGCATCTTTTTGGCCAGAAGAGGCCGTTTTCCCTAACCCTACATACTTGGGATAAGGCAAGAAGCAAATGGGTTTTACGCACAGAGCCTTACAAAAATTCGGCTAGATCGGAATCTGGTCCCGCCTGCGCGACCAGCAAGATTTTCGGGGTGTTGGCTTTCGAGAGCCAGAAGTCCCTTCGTCAGATACAAGTCAGAAGGCTCCTGACCCCAAAATCGCTGTTCTCCTGGAGACCAACACGACCACCCTCTGAAACGGAAATCCCTAACTCTCGGGACACTCCTGCGGTGGAAGAAGCCGCCTTGGGTGGGGGGCAGCGTTCCCTCTAAGCTGAGTTAGTGTGAGCTGGCTCACAGTTTTCTAGCCTCTGGCTCACAGATTTTTGTCTCCGCTCAGGAAGGATGTGGCTCCAGAGCCAAGTGATTGATGCAGCAGCCAAATCGCTCGCTCACGACTTTCATGCCTGTAGCTCGCAAAGGAGAATTTTTGCTCACAAGACTCTGCAGCTTAGAGGGAGCGTTGGTAATTGGCAAAGTCCCTTTGATGGCAGGTTTTCAAGCCAAGGTAGGAAAGGTCTCCAGTCAAGATGTTTCAGGCATGGGATGCCCCACCTGATTAGAAGACACCCCCCCCATCAGTGTTCCCTCTAAGCTGAGTTAGTGTGAGCTAGCTCAAAGTTTTTTAGCCTCCGGCTCACCCATTTTCGTCTTCGCTCAGGAAGGATGTGGCTCCAGAGCAAACTGATTGATGCAGCAGCCAAATGGCTCGCTCACAACTTTAAGGCCCGTAGCTCACAAAGTAGAATGTTTGCTCACAAGACTCCCCAGCTGAGAGGGAGCACTGGCCCCCACGGACTCCAGGGACTCCGGCTTCCTCTACAGTCCTTCAGTTCAACCTCCCGGTGACAGACCGGCCTCCCCTCTTGCAGGGACGAAAGATGGGGGCTCCCCTCCCAAGTTCTGTTGCTTCAGTCTCTTAGGAGAGAAACGGGCCAATTTTCCAGGCCACCTCCCCACCCAAAGCACCCCAAATATCGAGCAGTCGGGCAGTGGGACTCACCTGGCTTCCTCGGCGCTGGGCTGGAATTTCGTCCCAAGTCCAGACCAAAGAACGGGGGCTGACCCTCCTGGGGGCCTCCCCCTCTTCCGGAGGGTGGCGGCTTCTGGCGGGAGAGACAGGCCGGTGCCAGAGGGCTCAGGGAGTTAATGAAGTGGAGAACTCGGTGCCGAGGGCCGGACTCCCCTTTTCGCCCTTTGCACCCCTCCCCGGCGTCCTTCCAAAGGCACAGTGCCCTTAACCCTTGCGCTGCCGCTCCTTCGGCATGCAAGTCGCCAGCAAAGAGCGCAACGGGCATGAGGGATCTTCCAAGCCGCCCTGTACTGAAGGATGTCCTTGAACGCCCCCCCCCCCAAACTGTGCTGCCAATCAAAAGAGACAAGAGCGCCTGGAAATCAACATTCTGTGTCTGTGTCCTTGTTTTATCTGAGACGAACAGACTATTTGATACAGGAGGCAGGAAAACGGCCAGAGATGGGGCGAAACATCTCCCAGAGTGTCCGAGGAACTGGTATGTAGTAGAGTTGCCAACCTCCAGGTGCGGCCTGGAGATCTCCTGAAATTATGACTGATCTCCAGACTGCACCAGGGAGGCTTATGGGGTAAGGCTGACGATGATGCTGAGCCATCTCCCGGGCCATGTGCCACGATGCGCACCCTGCAGGTTGGCTACCTGCGACCTAGATCTTTGTCCAACCCGCTTGCGTGACAGACAGTCCACACCGCAGGCTTTTCCTCATCCTCATTTTGCTTGCTTGTGTGTTCCTGTTGCTTGTGGGGGTGGGACACTTTTCCACATGTGCTTTGCCCCCTCTAGTGGTTGATTCGATATTGCACCGCTTTGTGTCCGGCATAAAACCCTGCAGTTTAAATCTGCCGGTTTTATGCCGGACATAGAGCGCTGAAATACTGAATCGACCACTAGAGGGAGCAAAATATGTGCAGAACAGGGGGGAAACCCCTAAGCGATGTGAACACACAAGCAAGGAAAACAAGAATGCAGAAAAGCCTTATTATCTCTGACCCGCTGGCTAATCCCTGTCCCCATCCCGCCCCCTTTCCATGCCACCAGATCCAGACCAGATTTTCCATCATTGATCTTGTAGAAGCACTGGCAGAAGACCGCTGTAATCGTGAGGAGTTCATTGGTGCACAACATTTTCCTCCATTTTGCCCTCCCCGCCATCAAACGGCTTTTTGCAGGTCAGGACTGAACATTCTCTTTCCACTCTAACTCTCCATCCTTGTTCTATTGTTTTGTTCTGTATTAAACTGTGTTCTTTCCTGCACTGGAGCAGAAGGGAAGGCGTCATTCTTACCCGTATTGGATGCTTGCCACTTCTTGCCAAGGCCAGTATGACGAAACTCCGTAGCTGGATACAAAAGCGTCAGGAGTAGGCTCAGAGATCTGAACCTCAGCCCAGGCTAGAGAAGAAGGAGAAAAAGAAGGATTGGATTTATACCCCGCCCTTCACTACCCAAAGGAGTCTCAGAGCGGCTGACAAACTCCTCTCCCTTCCCCTCCCCACAACAGACACCACCTGTGAGGTAGGCGGAGCTCAGAGAGCTCTCTTGACAGAAACGGCTCTTTTTCAAGGACAGCTCTGAGAGAACTATGGCTTGCCCAAGGTCATCCAGCAGGTGCAAACGGAGGAGTGGGGAATCAGACCCGGTTCTCCCAGATTAGAGTCCGCACACTTAACCACTACACCAAACTGGTTCTCAGCAGGGCTGAGCGGTTTGACCAGGGGGAGAGGTTCCCGTCCGCTGTCACTCTTCGGCCTTTCAGACAGCTGAAGGAATTAAGGGACATAAGGGTATTATTCACTTGCATTAACTCCTCTGTAGATATGATTGCCTTCTGCAGACTACCTTAGACTACTTAAATCTATTTTCCTTTCCAAGAAAGTAGGGGCTGTGGCTCAGGGGTAGAACCTCGGCATGCAGAAGGTCCCCAGTTCAATTCCCGGCATCTCCAGGTAGAAAGGACCAGGCAGGAGGTGATGATAAAGACCTCTGCCTGAGACCCTGCAGAACTGTAAAGAGGGGCTGTGGCTCAGTGGAAGAAGCTCTGCTTGGCATTCAGAAGGTCCCCAGTTCAATCCCCGGCATCTCCAGTTAGAAAGGACCAGGCAGAAGGTGATGTGAAAGACCTCAGCCTGAGACCCCAGAGAGCAGTAAAGAGGGGCTGTGGCTCAGTGGCAGAGCATCTGCTTGGCATGGAGTGCCTCACAATCCTCACTGGTTTTTACCACCCTGAACAACTTTGTATCATCCACAAATTTAGCCACTTCACTGCTTACTCCCATCTCCAAATCATTAATGAACAAGTTAAAAAGCAGTGGACCAAGTACTGATCCCTGCGGTACCCCACTGCTTACCACCCTCCACTGAGAAAATTGCCCATTTATACTCACTCTCTGTTTTCTATGAATTAGCCAGTTTTTGATCCATAAAAGGACTTGTCCTTCTATCCCATGATTTTTGAGCTTACTTAGGAGCCTTTGATGAGGAACTTTATCAAAAGCTTTCTGGAAGTCAAGGTAAACAATATCTATTGGATCCCCCTTGTCCACATGTTTGTTCACCCCCTCAAAGAACACTAACAGGTTAGTGAGACAAGATCTTCCCTTACAGAAACCGTGCTGAGTCTGCCTCAATAGGTTTTGTTCATCTATGTGCCTACTAATTCTTTCCTTAATAATGGTTTCCACCAATTTACCCGGTATCGACGTCAGACTGACTGGCCTGTAATTTCCCGGATCTCCTCTGGAACCCTTTTTAAAGATGGGAGTGACATTAGCTACCTTCCAATCCTCAGGAATGGAGGCAGATTTTAAGGAAAGATTACATATCTTTGTCAGGAGATCCACAAGTTCACATTTGAGTTCTTTCAGAACTCTCGGATGTATGCCATCTGGGCCTGGTGATTTTTCAGTTTTTAAGTTGTCTATCAGTTTTAGGACCTCCTCTCTCAGCCTGAGAACCTGGAGACCTCAGCCTGAGAACCTGGAGAGGTGTAAAGAGGGGCTGTGGCTCAGTGGAAGAGCCTCTGCTTGGCATGCAGAAGTCCCCAGGTTCAATCCCCGGCATCTCTAGGTAAAACAGACCAGGCCGGAGGTGATGCGAAAGACCTCAGCCTGCGAACCCTGGAGAGCTGCTGCGAGTCCGAGTGGGTGACGCTGACCTTGATGGAGCAATTGTCTGATTCAGTCTAAGGCAGCTGCAGATGTGTTCTTGTGTTCGTTATTCTCCGTATCGTACAGAGGGAAATAAGCATTTGGCAGTGCAGATCTCCATGAAACAGGGCTCCTGGGGAAAAGGGGGCCCTGAGGAACAACATGGGTGTGTGTCTGTGTACTCTGTAGGGGGGTGGTGGAAATGGGAAGAAAACGAAGCCTGGATTCAACCCCAGATGACCGTGCGGATCCCATCAGACGCCCAGACTGGCTGGGCAACTTGCCACTCGTTGGCTTTCCCACCCTAGAGGGGAGGGCACAGCTGCTGATGACCCCCACCCCCACTAGCCCCCACCTAAAAACGTCTGTCACTCAGAGGATCCTGGCCAGGAGGGACCTGACAGCCAAGCTAATTGCTGCCTTTGAAAAGGAGCCCTCCGTCTTCATTTGCATTTACGTTCTGGGGGAGAGAAGTGGCCCTGCAGGGCAAAGGGTGGCAGCCGGTCATTTGCTTCACACACAATTTTTGAATGACATCAAATCGGGGGGGGGGGGTGGAAGGGGCCCCCCAAAGGCATCTGCACCAGTCCATTCATCCAGGCTACATCAGACCACAAGCAATGCTCCCTCTAAGCTGTGGAGTCTTCTGAGCAAAAATCCTACTTTGTGAGCTCCTGGCATTAAAGTGGTGAGCGAGTGATTGGGCTGCTGCCAGTGTTCCCTCTAAGCTGAGTTAGTGTGAGTTGGCTCACAGTTTTTTAGCCTCCAGCTCACACATTTTTGTCTCAGCTCAGGGAGGAGGGCTCTAGAGCAAACTAATTCATACAGTAGCCAAATCACTTGCTCACAGCTTTAATGCCAGCAGCTCAGAGTAGAATTTTTGCTCACAAGACTCCACAGCTTAGAGAGAACATTGGCTGCTGCATCAATTTGTTTGCTCTGGAGCCCTCCTTCCTGAGCAAAGACAGAAATCTGTGAGCCGGAGGCTAAAAAACTGTGAGCCGGCTCACACTGGCTCAGCTTAGAGGGAACACTGCCAGTGCTGACCAATGCTCCCTCTAAGCTGCAGAGTCCTGTGAGCAAAAACCCTACTTTGTGAGCTCCTGGCATTCAAGTGGTGAGCGAGCGATTTGACTGCTGCATCAATTAGTTTGCTCTGGAGCCCTCCTTTCTGAGCCGAGACAAAAATGCGTGAGCTGGAAACTAGAAGACTGTGAGCTAGCTCACACTCACTCAGCTTAGAGGGAACACGGACCACAAGAACAAACCACACCAGGAAGGCAAACGGCATAGGAGCAACAGGCGTTTCCGCCAAGCTCAGTTTTGGCACCGCTGGTTAATAGGGTTGCCAGGTTTCCGGCCACTGCCAGGGGATGGGGATTCCAGGCCGTTCTACATCAAGAGTGAGTGGCTGACAGACAGAGAGACAAAGATAGAGAGAGATAATGGGTGGGGGAAGAGGGGAGGAAGCAACCGCAGAACTGGAGTTGGGACTGGGGAGGACTCCTCGCTGCAACTCGCCCATCTCCAGCACTGCTTTACCTGCACCATGAATGGCTAAATAGCAGGAGAAAGTTTTAAAAGGGCATCTGAGCCTGCAACTGCAAAGCCTTGCAAGCGGGAGAGAAGGATCGTTCTCACCCCAGTCTCTGTAGCTGCGGGCTCAGCTGTCCTTTAAAAACGTTTTCTCTGGCTTCTAAGTGCTTCTCCCTCCCTCCTCCCCCCCCCAGCTTGGGCACTGCTGCTTCCCACTGCTTCTCTCTTCTGTCTAGAAGCCAGAGGGAAGTTAAAAAAGGACAGCTGACACATCATGAATGGATGGGTGGGCACAGTGACTGAGAGGTAGGGGAGCAGGTGGAGAGGAGTCGGGATTTCCTTCAACCAGTGCCAGTTTGTACACACCACTTTTTTGGGTATTTTTTGTATCTTTCAGATGTGCATGTGTGGGTGCGCATGCGTGTGTGTGCACCTGGAAGTCAGAGTGATCTCCGGTGACTGACCCCTACTGGGGTCTTCTCTTCCATTTTATCCCCACAGCAACCCTGCGAGGTAGGCTAGGCTGAGAGTGGCTGACTGGCCCAAGGTCACCCAGCGAGTGCCCGTGGCAGAGTGGGGATTCAAACCTGGGTCTCCCATATCCTAGAGAAGAAGAACAGAAGAACAGAAGAGACACCAATGTTGGATCAGGCCAAAGGCCAATCCAGTCCAACACTCTGTGTCACACAGTGGCCAGAAATACCAGTGCCATCAGAAGAGAAGAGATTGGATTTATACCCCGCCCTTCACTACCCAAAGGCGTCTCAGAGCGGCTGACAAACTCCTTTCCCTTCCCCTCCCCACAACAGACACCCTGGGAGGTAGGTGGGGCTGAGAGAGCTCTTGACAGAATTGTCCTTGAGAGAACAGCTCTGACAGAACTGTGGCTTGCCCAAGGTCATCCAGCCAGGTTCAAGTGGAGGAGTGGGGAATCAAACCCAGTTCTCCCAGATTAGAGTCCACGCACCTAACCACTACACCAAACTGGTT